AACTCCCAATATTATATATAATTCAGAATTCATATTTTTTTACGAGTATTTGTCATATACGGTCCAAGAATATATTTGTGTCGGCGACAGTCAGTATATATTATCTCGGGGAAAAGGATGGTTGTGGTGGCGGGCTGTCTGGTGGACGCTGGTGCTGGCCGGCTGTCTAGTGGACGCTGGTGCGGGCTGGCTGTCTAGTGGACGCTGGTACTGACTGGCTGTCTGGTGGACGCTGGTGCTGACTGGTTGTCTGGTGAACGCTGGTGCTGGCTGGCTGTCTGGTGGACGCTGGAGCTGACTGGCTGTCTGGTGGACGCTGGTGCTGACTGGCTGTCTGGTGGACGCAGGTGCTGACTGGCTGTCTGGTGGACGCTGGTGCTGGCAGGCTGTCTCGTGGACGCTGGTACTGACTGGCTGTCTGGTGGACGCTGGTGCTGACTGGTTGTCTGGTGGACGCTGGTGCTGGCTGGCTGTCTGGTGGACGCTGGTGCTGACTGGTTGTCTGGTGGACACTGGTGCTGACTGGCTGTCTGGTGGACGCTGGTGCTGGCTGGCTGTCTGGTGGACGCTGGTGCTGACTGGTTGTCTGGTGGACGCTGGTGCTGGCTGGCTGTCTGGTGGACGCTGGTGCTGGCTGTCTGGTGGACGCTGGTGCTGACTGGCTGTCTGGTGGACACTGGTGCTGGCTGGCTGTCTGGTGGACGCTGGTGCTGGCTGTCTGGTGGACGCTGGTGCTGGCTGTCTGGTGGACGCTGGTGCTGACTGGCTGTCTGGTGGACGCTGGTGCTGGCTGGCTGTCTGGTGGACGCTGGTGCTGACTGGCTGTCTGGTGGACGCTGGTGCTGGCTGGCTGTCTGGTGGACGCTGGTGCTGGCTGGCTGTCTGGTGGACGCTGGTGCTGACTGGCTGTCTGGTGGACGCTGGTGCTGACTGGCTGTCTGGTGGACGCTGGTGCTGACTGGCTGTCTGGTGGACGCTGGTGCTGACTGGCTGTCTGGTGGACGCTGGTGCTGACTGGCTGTCTGGTGGACGCTGGTGCTGGCAGGCTGTCTGGTGGACGCTGGTGCTGGCTGGCTGTCTGGTGGACGCTGGTGCTGACTGGTTGTCTGGTGGACGCTGGTGCTGGCTGGTTGTCTGGTGGACGCTGGTGCTGGCTGTCTGGTGGACACTGGTGCTGGCTGGCTGTCTGGTGGACGCTGGTGCTGGCTGTCTGGTGGACGCTGGTGCTGGCTGTCTGGTGGACGCTGGTGCTGTCTGGCTGTCTGGTGGACGCTGGTGCTGGCTGGCTGTCTGGTGGACGCTGGTGCTGACTGGCTGTCTGGTGGACGCTGGTGCTGGCTGGCTGTCTGGTGGACGCTGGTGCTGGCTGGCTGTCTGGTGGACGCTGGTACTGACTGGCTGTCTGGTGGACGCTGATACTGACTGGCTGTCTGGTGGACGCTGGTGCTGACTGGCTGTCTGGTGGACGCTGGTGCTGACTGGCTGTCTGGTGGACGCTGGTGCTGACTGGCTGTCTGGTGGACGCTGGTGCTGGCAGGCTGTCTGGTGGACGCTGGTGCTGGCTGGCTGTCTGGTGGACGCTGGTGCTGACTGGTTGTCTGGTGGACGCTGGTGCTGGCTGGTTGTCTGGTGGACGCTGGTGCTGGCAGGCTGTCTGGTGGACGCTGGTACTGACTGGCTGTCTGGTGGACGCTGGTACTGACTGGCTGTCTGGTGGACGCTGGTGCTGGCTGGCTGTCTAGTGGACGCTGGTACTGACTGGCTGTCTGGTGGACGCTGGTGCTGGCTGGCTGTCTGGTGGACGCTGGTGCTGGTTGGCTGTCTGGTGGACGCTGGTGCTGGCTGGCTGTCTGGTGGACGCTGGTGCTGGCTGTCTAGTGGACGCTGGTGCTGGCTGGCTGTCTGGTGGACGCTGGTGCTGGCTGGCTGTTTGGTGGACGCTGGTACTGGCTGGCTGTCTGGTGGACGCTGGTGCTGGCTGGCTGTCTGGTGGACGCTGGTGCTGGCTGGCTGTCTGGTGGACGCTGGTGCTGGCGGGCTGTCTGGTGGACGCTGGTGCTGGCTGGCTGTCTGGTGGACGCTGGTGCTGGCTGGCTGTCTGGTGGACGCTGGTGCTGGCGGGCTGTCTGGTGGACGCTGGTGCTGGCTGGCTGTCTGGTGGACGCTGGTGCTGGCTGGCTGTCTGGTGGACGCTGGTGCTGGCTGGCTGTCTGGTGGACGCTGGTGCTGGCGGGCTGTCTGGTGGACGCTGGTGCTGGCTGGCTGTCTGGTGGACGCTGGTGCTGGCTGGCTGTCTGGTGGACGCTGGTGCTGGCGGGCTGTCTGGTGGACGCTGGTGCTGGCTGGCTGTCTGGTGGACGCTGGTGCTGGCTGGCTGTCTGGTGGAGGCTGGTGCTGGCGGGTTGTCTGGTGGACGCTTTTGCTGGCTGGCTGTCTGGTGGACGCTGGTGCTGGCTGGCTGTCTGGTGGACGCTGGTGCTGGCGGGCTGTCTGGTGGACGCTGGTGCTGGCTGGCTGTCTGGTGGACGCTGGTGCTGGCGGGCTGTCTGGTGGACGCTGGTACTGACTGGCTGTCTGGTGGACGCTGGTGCTGGCTGGCTGTCTGGTGGACGCTGGTGCTGGCTGGCTGTCTGGTGGACGCTGGTACTGACTGGCTGTCTGGTGGACGCTGGTGCTGGCTGGCTGTCTGGTAGACGCTGGTGCTGGCTGGCTGTCTGGTGGACGCTGGTGCTGGCGGGCTGTCTGGTGGACGCTGGTGCTGGCTGTCTGGTGGACGCTGGTGCTGACTGGCTGTCTGGTGGACGCTGGTGCTGGCTGGCTGTCTGGTGGACGCTGGTGCTGGCGGGCTGTCTGGTGGACGCTGGTGCTGGCTGGCTGTCTGGTGGACGCTGGTGCTGGCTGGCTGTCTGGTGGACGCTGGTGCTGGCGGGCTGTCTGGTGGACGCTGGTACTGACTGGCTGTCTGGTGGACGCTGGTGCTGGCTGGCTGTCTGGTGGACGCTGGTGCTGGCTGGCTGTCTGGTGGACGCTGGTGCTGGCGGGCTGTCTGGTGGACGCTGGTACTGACTGGCTGTCTGGTGGACGCTGGTGCTGGCTGGCTGTCTGGTGGACGCTGGTGCTGGCGGGCTGTCTGGTGGACGCTGGTGCTGGCGGGCTGTCTGGTGGACGCTGGTGCTGGCTGGCTGTCTGGTGGACGCTGGTGCTGGCGGGCTGTCTGGTGGACGCTGGTGCTGGCTGTCTGGTGGACGCTGGTGCTGGCTGGCTGTCTGGTGGACGCTGGTGCTGGCTGGCTGTCTGGTGGACGCTGGTGCTGGCAGGCTGTCTGGTGGACGCTGGTGCTGACTGGCTGTCTGGTGGACGCTGGTGCTGGCTGGCTGTCTGGTGGACGCTGGTGCTGGCGGGCTGTCTGGTGGACGCTGGTGCTGGCTGTCTGGTGGACGCTGGTGCTGACTGGCTGTCTGGTGGACGCTGGTGCTGGCTGGCTGTCTGGTGGACGCTGGTGCTGGCTGGCTGTCTGGTGGACGCTGGTGCTGGCTGGCTGTTTGGTGGACGCTGGTGCTGGCTGGCTGTCTGGTGGACGCTGGTGCTGACTGGCTGTCTGGTGGACGCTGGTGCTGGCTGGCTGTCTGGTGGACGCTGGTGCTGGCTGGCTGTCTGGTGGACGCTGGTGCTGGCTGGCTGTCTGGTGGACGCTGGTGCTGGCTGTCTGGTGGACGCTGGTGCTGGCGGGCTGTCTGGTGGACGCTGGTGCTGGCTGGCTGTCTGGTGGACGCTGGTGCTGGCGGGCTGTCTGGTGGACGCTGGTGCTGGCTGGCTGTCTGGTGGACGCTGGTGCTGGCGGGCTGTCTGGTGGACGCTGGTGCTGGCGGGCTGTCTGGTGGACGCTGGTGCTGGCGGGCTGTCTGGTGGACGCTGGTGCTGGCTCTTCTAATTTTTTCTTTCTTATTCGGATTCTCCCTCGGTTATCTTTTTTACCTATTCCTTCCGTCTCCATTTTCATCTAAGACTCTCTCTTCTTGTACATTTTCTTGTCTAATTCCAAAGTGCATTATTGTTTGGTTCGTTCAGTTCGTAGAAAGGCAGTTCACACAAAGGAAAGGGAACTATCAGGAGAAGTACCAAGCTATTATGGTTATATAGCACTTAGGACAAGGATTAGGTCAGGACAAGGATTTGGAATGGGACGGGGAGGGGGTTATCTTGAGATGATTTCGGGGGCTTAGCGTCCCCGCGGCCCGGTCCTCGACCATGCCTCCTTTTTGTTACACACCCCCAGGAAGCAGCTGTCTAACTCCCCAGGTACCTATTTACTGTTAGGTAACAGGGGCATCAGGGTGAAAGAAACATTTTGCCCATTTGTCTCTGCCTCCACCGGGGAAAGAACCCGGAACCTCAGGACAACAAATCCGAAGTGCTGTACACTCAGCTGCCAGGTGGGGGGGAAGGAATGGTGCCCAATCACTTGGGCAGTCGGGGATTGAGCGCTGACCTGCATGAAGTGAAACCGTTGCTCTGCCATCTAGTTTAAGTGGTTGGGGTACAGTTCACTCAAATTGCAACTACTTTTTTTGCTGAGGGCTTAAACTGTATATCTTACACTAATGAGAGCAGTCTCTGTGGTGTAGTGGTAGAGCACTCGCCAGCACTTCGCAAGCACTTTGGCCTGGGTTCATATTCTGGCCGGGGAGGAGTGATCAGGTGCCAGTCCTTAACCTTTGCCTTTATTCCCGCAGCAGTGAATGAGTATCTGGTTGTTAAACGATTTGGGGGGCCGTATTCTGGGGGGAAAATTTGGATTAAGGACTTGCCCAAAACGCTATGCGGGCTGGTGGCTTTACAAGAATGTAAAAACTCTTGTATATATAAATATTTTGTTTTTTCGTTAGATAAGCCTGGATTACGAAATTCATGTTAGGTTTAAATTAGATTAGATAATAAGTGTAATTATCTGTTGATGAACTGCCTCAAGTAACAATAGTGACCAGCCTCTGGTATTGCAGGTGTGCATAGCTGACATAGACAAGGAGGCAGGCGCCGTCACACTCCAGGACCTTCAGGCCAAATACAACCCTGACAACGTCATTTTCGTCGACTGTGACGTCACCAAAGATGAGGCTTTTAAAGGTGAGAATTTTATCACGAATACATTATAGATAGCAAGGAACTGTCAGCATTCATTGTAGTCTGGTTTATTTTATGTTTGAGTTCTACACCCAAAGACACTATATTAGCCAGGGAGTGATTAGGCTTGCCAACCTTGCAGGAGCTTGGGAAGCCGCCGTTGAGAGGCTGGGGCCCGTCTCACTACTTATCAACAATGCGGGTATTGGCAACGAGCAGAACTGGCAGAAGACAGTTGATGTTAACTTGGTGAGTTGCTTTTTCCAGTAATACTCAAACATTCCTTCCTTTCTCCATGCTCTTTTCTCTTTTGCCTATTTCATGACAACATCCTGTATGTAGAATACATATTCAGCAATTTTTATTTTACTTCAAATTCTAATCAATTGTATCTTAGCAAAATCCCCTTATTTGGGGCTATTATCTCTCTGAGCTGGACTTGTGACAATCTTATTACATAATCCTAATTCTTGCCTATTATAAGGTAAAAAACTCTCCACTTTCCTTCTTAAATTGTAGTGAATATGCACTATCGCAAAGAAAATAATATTTCCTCCCTATTTCTATTCCTTCCCTCCCACCTTTTTCCTCCCTATTAAGAAAGAACCCAACAACTTGTGTTCAAGGATAGACCCGCCACAAAAAAAGGGGGCCACTTAGCTGTAATTTTTTGCCAAAACGAAAAGTTACGGCTAAACAGTCATGCCATCTACTCAGTTAATTCATTGTGTCAGGGAACAGGCAGCCAAAACTCTAGTACAGTTTTTTCTGCCCCCAGCAACCGGGAATTGTTATAACTTCCACACAGAAATGGAAGCTTCCACTTCTGTGTGGAAGTGGAAGTTTCCACTAAAAAACTTTTGTGTTTTCTTTTTAACCACAAAAACACACATGCGGGAGCAAGCACAATGATGCAGATGACATCAGCTATGAGATTTGTACACGAGCAGAACTAGCAGAATAATAGAATAATAGACTTGAATTTAACTTAATAATAATTCAATATTTATAATGTTAAATAATTATCGAGCCGCTTACCGCACGAAGGATAAATCACCATTACATTATTGTATACTATGAGGAGTCTCCTGATGCAGGGCGGCTGCATACGGGGAACGCTGCTGGGCCTGGAGAAGATGGGCATCAACAAGAGCGGCGCTGGGGGCGTGGTGGTCAACATCTCCAGCATCACGGGGCTCAAGGCGGCACCCCTGGGACCCGTCTACGCCTCTACCAAACACGCTATCGTTGGCCTCACCAGGAGTTTAGGGGTGACTACAGCCTACTGTTTATGTTTCTTCATGTTATTCAAGTTTCATCCCTCCCTCTCGATCTCTAGCATATCCGTGTTATATCATTGGCAATAATCTTCACGATGCGACACAAGAAAAGTCAAACAATGAATATTAGTTATATTGTTATTTAATTTTCATTTTGTCTCCTGAATATAGTCAAAAGTACCTTTTACAGTTCAGTAATGTATAAATGTATATATTGTATTAAATGTATATCTTGTATAAAATATGAACAAATTTAAGTAAATTTTGGTGGCATATACTGTCATTTAACTAGTATTAGAACACCATAAATAACTGCATTACTATTCATAGTCTTTTGAGAAAAATCTTGCACTGCAGCAACCCAACACTTAAAGAAAAAATAGACTTGAGTTTAACCTAATAATAATTCAATATTTTTAATGTTAAATAATTACCGAGCCGCTTAATGCACCAAGGATAAATCACTGCCTGTACACTAACCATCTTCCTGCCAAGGTAAACCAAACTAATAATGCAACCCGTTCTCGCAAATTTGTAAAGTCAATATTGACTTATTAAATAAGTGCATAGGTGATATACTATACATAATAGATACTCTTAAATAGCTTCATAGAAAACACCGACCTTACCTAACCTTGTTAGTATCTTAAGATAAGCATCTTATAGCTTCGTAATTACATTTGTTACTTAACCTATTATAGGTATAGGTATCTTAAGATAAGCATCTTATAGCTTCGTAATTACAATTGTTACTTAACCTATTATAGGTATAGGTTAAGTAATAATTGTAATTACGAAGCAATAAGATGCTTATCTAAAGATACTAACAAGGTTAGGTAAGGTCGGTGTTTTCTATGAAGCTTTTTAAGGGTATCTATTATGTATAGTATATCACCTATGCACTTATTTAATAAGTCAATATTGACTTTACGAATTTGCGAGAACGGGTTGAATAATAAGGGCTGCATGTTGTGCCTTGCATGCAATACTTCCATAAGTTCATCACGGTCACCAACGGACACCTGTAGCCATTTAGCAAAAATGTGTCTAACTAGATTTAGAAATATTAATACATTTATTAACTATAAAAATGTTCTGTTTTGCATGAAATTCAGGCGTTTGTATTTACAAATGAGTTTAAATGTCATTAGTATTTGTAAATAAATTGATTTTGGATTCAATTTTTTGTGATTTTTTTTTTTTGCAGGGATTTTCCTGCGCGGGCCCCAAACCTCTGGCTGGCCCACTAAGTGTTGCTTGTTTCTGTTTTACTTGGGCGGAGTATGAGTATTTAAGACTCGTGTGGTCGCTTCAGTAAGAGTTTGCCATACGTGTTTAACAACTTCTTCTGCTCTGTTCAATCTAAGTTGAAATCTTAATGGGTTTGTAACTGTGCACTGTGTTAGATAATGTTCCAGTGGTCTGTCGGGCATTTCTCCACAGTGCTGACATTTCCTCTCATGTTCCGGAACCTGTAAGCTTATTTCCCATGCACATGAGTATCCAAGCCTGATGCGATGTAAGTGTACTTCTGTTGCTCTATTGCTCCCTTTCATCAAACTAAATGGTTCGTAGTTGGTTGAATTCTTGTACCAACCCGCAGATCCTGATGTTGCAACTGTTGTGGTGTGGTCACTGTACATCTTTTGCATTTTTCTGTTTCTAATTACTTTCTTAATCTGTGATAGACTCTGTGGTATGTAAATGTCTACAATTCTTCTCTTAGTTGCAAGTTTTACAGCTTCGTCTGCAATGTCATTTCCTATTACTCCTACATGACTTGGCACCCAGTTGATAAGTACCCGTCAGCCTTGTCGTTTGAGTGTTTGCATTAATGATATGACATTTGTGATCAGATGTATGTTATCACATATGTGTTCTTGTTGCAAGGCTTCAATGGCGGTTCTCGAAACTGTATGTATGATAACATAGTGTCGGTGTTCAGCAAGAACATGTTCCAAAGCCTTTTGAATGGCAAGCATCTCTGTTTGCAAAGTCGAACACCCATTTGAGAGTCTCCAACTATTTACAGAGTTTAATGCTTTAACTACAGCTCCGGTTTCTTGTCCCTGCTGGTCTACTGATCCATCTGTGAAGTAAGTGAAGCTTTCAGATGCCATGTTTGCTTCTATATGCATCTGTGCAATGTTACGTAGCAGATGAGGATTTGTCTGGTTCTTTTTTCCTTCAAGAACCATAATCTTAAAGTCTGCTGGCGGAGATTCCCAAGGGGATTGCATAACAAAGTCTGCATGTATTTCGTCGACACCCTTCTCAGTGACTGTGTTTGTTATATCGAATGTATTTTTTTTTTTTGTAGGGATATTCCTGCTCGGGCCCTAAGCCTCTGGCTGGCCCACTAAGTGTTGCTTGTTTCTGTTTTACTTGGGCGGAGTATGAGTTTTTATTACTCGTATGGTCGGTTCAGTAAGATTTTGCCATATGTGTTTAACAACTTCTGCTCTGTTGAATCTAAGCTGAAATCTTAATGGGTTTGTAACTGTGCACTGTGTTAGATAATGTTCCAGTGGTCTGTCGGGCATTTCTCCACAGTGTTGACATTTCCTCTCATCTTCCGGAACCTGTAAGCCTATTTCCCATGCACATGGGTATCCAAGTCTGATGCGATGTAAGTGTACTTCTGTTGCTCTACTGCTCCCTTTCCTCAAACTAAGTGGTTCATAGTTGGTTGAATTCTTGTACCAACCCGCAGATCCTGATGTTGCAACTGCTGTGTTGTGGTCACTGTACATCTTTTGCATTGCTCTGTTTCTAATTACTTTCTTCGAATGTATTGATGGTGTTTATCGCACAATAGGTCCACCTGTTGCTATTGGAGGTTCTTCTGTCCAGAGTTAGTGCTCCAGTGATTATATCTTTAAGTGAACTGATTCTAGGTCTAGTCAATATCTTGGTCAGCATGCACGCAGCAATCCTTTTACCCTTATTTCAATCGACGTTAGCTTGGTTTCTATTCTTAGGTTCAGTATTTTAGTCCATCTGGGAGCTCCTGTTATGATTCGCAATGCATCGTTTTGAATAACCTCAACGTTTGCCCACTGACCAGGAGAAAGAGTGAGTAAGGCAGGCGCTGCATAATCAACTAGGGAACGAACGGCGTGTATGTAAAACATTCTTAACACTTTGTGTCCCGCTCCTTGACGGGGCCCTGTGATTGCTCTCATTATATTTAGTCGTGATTTTGCTTTTTCCTTCAGATATTGAATTTGTTTGTTGAATGTCATTTTAGAATCTATCCACACTCCGAGATATTGATATTGTGTAACCCACTGAAGGTTAATGTCTTGAATGCGTAGGTGCCTGTCTGGAGTGTTGCCGCCTAGTCTCATTGCCTTAGACTTCTGTGCAGATATTTTTAGCCCTAAAACGCCGCATTCAAATGTTACTTTATGCACCTTGTGCTTTATTTAGAAGTGAAGGACCTGTAATGACTAATGCTATATCATCAGCATAGCTTAGCAATTTAACCCCTTCTGTAAATGTCATGGTAACGAGGTTTTCTATAAGAATGTTAAAAAGACTAGGACTGAGGACTCCTCCTTGTGAGTCCCATTCTCATGCAAGTGGTAGTCCGACACTTGTCCTTGCAACTTTACTCTGGCATACCTGTGACTTAGGTAATCTTGAATCCATGCTAGCATATTTCCCTTTACACCTTTTTTAACTAAGGTGTGTAAAATTGCTTGCAGGCTTGCAAGTTCGAATGCTTTTTCTAGATCAAGGAAGATTACTATAGCTGGACCTGAGTTAACTGTTCCTAGTAATGTTGCTATGCAGTTGGCAGTACCTACTCCTCTAGTGAAGCCAAATATGTGTTTATGCAGGTCTCCAGTCTTCCACAGTAGCCTATTTAAGACCATCCGTTCTGCAGTTTTACTAATGCATGATGTTAATGAAATGGGCCTGTAATTGCCAGATTCTTTCGGCTTAGGAATCGGTATGATGTCTTTCTTCCAAGAGGTCGGTAGTTTGCCTTGCTGCCAAGATGCATTGATGACGTCGAATATTCCTTGTTCTCCAGCAGGACCTGCATGTGCGATCATTGAGAATGTAATGTTATCAGCACCTGGTGCAGTGTCCTTACCACCTTTTTTGGCTCTGATTAGTTCTTGTTTGGTGAAGGGACAGTCACATTCGTCATTTATAGCTATGCTCTCATGAATGGCTGTTAACCTATCTTGTTTTAATTGTTCTTGCTGCCTTCGGACCATTGCAGGAAGCTGATATGAAGCTGTTCTTTCTGCAAATTGGAGAGCAAGTCTCTCAGCCTCCTGCAATGGTTGAATACATGCCTGTGGTCGGGCTGGTCGACCTGATATGGTTTTAATCTGACCACATATCTTGCCAAGACTATTATGTTCATTTAGAGTTTGACACCACTCAAACCATCTTGCCTCCTTTACTTCTCGAGAAACTCGTCTTGCTTCAGATATCACCGCTCTTAGCAGAGTTCTTCCTTCTGGTGTACGGTTTCTCTTTAGATTTTTTCTGAATATCCTGACTCTGTGGTTCTGCTCTTTAACCTCATTACTATAGAACCAATAGTTCTTTCGTTTTGTGTTTCCTCTGATAATGATTGGAATAGCTTTGTTTGCAGCAGCTGCAATTGCTTCCTGCAAATTGGTCTTGTGTATGTTCAAATCCTCAGGTGGCGTGTATGTTGCATACCATTTTTTAAGTTCCTCTTAGTATATATTCCAATTGGATTTTTATTTTTAAATTCCACCTAGGTTGTGCAGGTGGCGTTGGAGGTCGTTCTATGTTTAGTGTTGTGACAGTAGCATAGTGGTTACTGGTGATCACCGGGTCTACCTCCCACTTCGCCTGATGCTTGAGTGCTGTTGAGATTAATGTAAGATCAAGGGAACCTCCTAGAATGTGAGTGGGTTCCTCAGTGTTGAGAAGTGTAATTTCAGGTACTTCTCGCAGAGCTGCAGCTAAATGGCGCCCATCTGCATTGGCTGGCCCAG